CTTTAAATGTTTATCTCTATGCAACACGAAAGCTCTGGCAAACAATATTTTGCTCTGTTTACCAAAAAAATTACCAAAAGGTCGCTGAAGTTTCAACTCCGTCCAAAATGTTTGATGTATCAGAAAGGATTATTCATCGGATATAGTTTGGAAACTTTATGTTTGAATCTTTCTTGCCCTTTTGGTTATTGGACTTAGCAGATAAATAAAGGGTTTCAACAATCATCGGGATTTTTGTTTTATATAAGATGAGGATAAGCAGCAGCTTGTAAATGTTAATTAGCCAACTTGTCAAAGATCGTATTATTTTTCTCGCTCAATAAGAATATATTATTTCTTCTGAAGTTTTTGTCGAGGTCGAGTCGTCGTCACTTCACATCTAAAACCAACATTTCTGAATGGACATTCGTTTTTCTATGGGCAGTTTAAGAACACCTAATGGAGGGAGATATCCGTGCGCTAAAAAGCTTTGTATTAGGGTTGATTATCAACTCTTTCAGACAATTTTTAGGAGCGAAGTTTGATGAAAATAACACGTCTGCGTATTTTAACTCCAAATACTGACAAATGAAAGCGGACTTGAAACGGGAACATGACTTTTCTTTCGATTAAATGTCTATTATTAGCAAAATTGCCATACGACAAATATTAAAAGCATTTTAATAAGTTTTCCAAGGTGTTTATCTTTCGATAGGAATGAATAAAAAATATGCTGGATAAATATGCCGAAAATGTTCTTCATCTGTCAAATTTAATTAAAAAGTCCAAGAGAACTTAACGTCTAAATATCTGCTTTTCCTGAGGGTTTTTTGCCGTCAATTAGACGTTCTAAAGAAATAGATCGAAATTTTTACAATGTTGTTCTAAGGACTAATTTCAATGTCTAATAAGTATGTTAACTTGTAAAGATATTCCTGTGAGACCCACTTCTCTCCATCGAGGGAAGCGGGTAACATCTATCTGCGACATTTCTATTACTGTCCACATAGACTTGATAGCCCCAAGAATTTTGAATTGTTTTTTATGTTTTGATTGACTTTCATAGTATGGTTTCTTTCATAAAAACAGGCCAATTTTGGAAGCTTAATCCACTGCTAGGAGCTTGTGATCAACTTAATACTTGCGCCATACGCGTGGGGTAGAAACGGAAAACCGTTACTTTGAAGCAGGCATGGAGTTTGTTTTATTTTTCATGTTCATAGCCTGGAATGCATTATTGACTAACTTGACTTTTGGAAAAGGTGGGTCGCAGATGGCGAATCATTTTTTATCCTTCGATTCACTTATGAGTACAACCTTATTTATATAAAAAAGGTTTATGACTTATCGATCATGAAATAGAAAAGGAACTTGAGAAAAATTTGCGTATGGCTTTTGTTCTGTCTCCCCTAAAATAATATAGCTCAGGAGAAACAAAACACACGAAATGCTCTCTAAAAACCTTGTGCCTTCACAAAAGACAAGTGATACTCGATGCTGCCAATTTTTGTTCTTGTTTCTCCCTTTTTTACCGTTTTTGGGAGGGAGACGGCCAGAGCTATTTATCTAGGACCCGTATTATACATAAAGTTGGGAATTTAAAATATAGCAGCGGTAACAACGACATCAACAAAAACAATTAAAAAACTTTACTCAAATTTGTCTTGTCCCAAGTATTTAATGTGTTAACCTCCTTTATCTCAGCTGAAATCACGAGGAAATTTCTGAGCGCGGAATTGAGACGTAGAAAATTATCCGAAATACCTATGTTCTCAGATAGGCAAAAATCTGCAAATGAAGGCAGTGTTAATTTTTCTCCGTTTTCCCGTAATCTCCTCGGTGGGCTCGTTAAGTTACGCGGAACCTGCAATTTCTCTGTTTTTATTTATTTTGTTACAAGACAGCACACCAAAAGTAGAGTTGTAAGGAAAAAAATGATTTGGCAACCGTTTCCTTATAGACTCCTGTCCTTAAGAAGACCGTAGGAAATGAAATAGAGGCAACGCATAATTCAAGGTACGAATAAAATTTATTGGATGTCTTACCACCTTGAAGTTATACGAGCCTGCTGCTTAATGTTCCTATATGATTTTAAAAACCTAATTGCTGTAATGTTCCCGTGATGTCTAAAAGATTCCAAGGATTCTGTTATCGATTATAAAACGACGATGTAATGCCACTTTCTGAGTGGCCTTGAGTTGTTTTCCTTCAACGGAAGCAGTATTGCATGGTAGTCAGCGTTTAGCTTCCCGAACTGATTATTTCATGAATGCTTAAGTAAAAACCATAAAATCATAATTTACCCTTCGTTAAGTGTAAGATGAAAAGTTCAGGATGAAGACTATAACACACACAATGCTTCGTAAAGTAAATCTTGCAAGTTTCACCACAATATTCTGTATTGCTATCATCTGCATCTCCTTGATTGCTAGTTCCATATTCCACATATTCACCTACTTACTTCGTTTCAAGGCGCCAGTGAATCACATTTAACGAAAGATGAATCGTAATCGATGGAAAATAAGTCTACATGAACTTCAGTCGAACAGTTTGGTGTAGTCGTAATTGCAAAAAATAGCACGATTTAATTTATCGCCTGCCTAAATAAAATATTCTCGATATCGTTGAACACACGAATGAGACCAGACGACAGTTAAAAGACAACTATCAGATAACAATTTGAATAGTAAACAGGGCCTTAAGAGCGACGCTGAATAAGTTCCCTGAAAAATGCAAGCCTCTTAACTTAGGCAAAACCCCATGTCTTGAAAGCTGTCTTTGAAACAATTTCACTTTTCTTTACTGAAACGTTTTCTTAAATTTATGTACAGTTCTTCGCCTCAGATACAAAACAAATATGTAACGACTGTTGAAAAATGTTCGTCCGTACATAAGTTCTAAAGATTGTTTGACAGTTTTCAATTTCAGAAATTAAACCATTCGTGCATCGAGACTATTACAATTGAAACAATAGAGACTTGAGGATTAGAAATGTGGATCACACAGTTTTTCCAACGTTTTATTTCTTTAATTAAATTTAAGTTTGAAATTATTGAGATATTTTTCAGTGGCATATCACACCTATTAAGAACTTAAACAATTTTTAAGTGTACCTTGAAAATTCGAGAAACTTCCACCGAAGAATTAGGCAAGCTGGAATGATAAGAGATAATTTATTAAAGACGTCATTTGGTGTCTCATAGAAAGACGTAAACAGTATCTGATATGTGCCTCGTCTGTCATCTTGAACAAAACATTTAATATGTTAAATAAAGGGGAAAAATGTATTGTTTATTCTGGTAAAAGTGCGCCTAAACTATGTTTTAAAACTCCTACAGTGTGCGTGAAGCCGGCTAAATGTTTCATTATCATACGGACGGATAGAGTTGTGCTCTTTGTCTAACTTGTGGTGACGAAGCCGTGGGAAGAAGCGCGAACGATTTTACAAGAATAGGAACTTTTGAAATAATTTCGAGTCATTATTACGTGTTGATTTAACGTTGCTTGAGACAAGACAGAAGACAATTCAATAAACTTTGAGTAATATTAAAAAAAAAGTAAGCAAAATTCAAGAAACACTTTATGACGAAAAAAAATTAACATTTTTGCAGCGATAATAATTTGTTTGAACTACATTGTCGACGACTCATTAAAAACTGTCAAGCTAAAAAATATTTAGCGATCAATTTTAAGTGTTTGGCGGAACAATGCAAGTTTAAACCGCATTTTATTTGGTCTGTTTGTCCTCACTGTCAACTTGAATTTGTATTGTAGCTCAGAAGCCTTTGAGGTTCGAGCAATTAATTTGAATTGCGTGTGCTTGACGTCTGTGAATTATGCTCATTGTGACTTTCGCGCAAAATGGAGCCGTGTAAACTTTGGTGGAACAAGTAGAAGGAACACGGAAGTTCTTATCTAAAGTTAATCATCGTTTTGGCTTGAAACCAGGTGTTTCTATCGTAATCATAGCTATTATATTGTTTTAAAAGAAAGCACTTTTACCTCAAAAGCAGTGAGGGACCAAAGAGCATTTTGAGAGGTAAGCGTTTATCATATTGAAAACACCGATGAATGATTTGAGTAATACTTTCCCTGGAAAATATATATTCTTTACGAAAAGATTTTTAAGCCGCAACTCCTTTTATTCTGCATACCAAAGGAAAAAGGTTGGCTTCACTCCCATATAAGGGTATGGTGCGATTTTAAAATAAAATTATCTTGAGGTCTTTTTCAACGAAAGCAGATTATCGATACTCGAGGTTTACCAACTGAACCTTTACATGATTACTTCTATGCACCACAAAAGTTCTGATAAATAGTATGTTGCTCTGTTTATCTAAAAAAATTACCAAAAGATCGCTAAAGTTTGAACCCCGTCCAAAATGTTGAATGTGTTAAGAACAACTTGGAAAGAATTATTCATCACATATAGTTTGGAAGCCTTGTATTTGAATCTTTCTTGCCTTTTTGGTTACTGAACTTTATAGATGAGTAAAAGGTTTAAACAATCTTCGGGATTTTTATTTCACAACAGAATGAGGATAATCAGCAGCTTATAAATGTTAATTAGCCAACTTGTTAAAGATTGTATTTTTTCTCGCTCATAATGAGACTATGTTATTTAATCTGAACTTTTTGTCGAGTTTGAGTCGTTGTCACTTCACATTTGGAACCAAGATTTCGAAATGAAGATTTTTAATGCTTGAACATTCGTTCTTCTATGGGGGCGTAAAGTGATCAGGCCTATCAGGAGGACATTTCAAAATACCTTAAGCAGATCAAAGTTATCATTCCACTTTACGCCCCCATAGAAGAACGAATGTTCTTGTGCAAATTGTTTACTCACATCATAAACTAGAAAGTACCTGAACGAGTTTACAGGCAAGGTTTTAATGTACGGGTAGTATTGTTTCTATATGGCTTCATCTGATTTCAAACAAGTTTTGTTGAGGGAAAACTCGTCTTTTTTCTTTCTATGATCCTATTCTCAATATTTTCAGATTCAGCACAAGTAAAGAAGTATGTGGTGGCTGTTCTGCCATTTAAGATTCGTCCTTTTCGCTTCTACCATGGAGTTTGTCGCAGCTAACGATCAATGTAGGACAGAAATAAACATACAAGGAATGGCTCTCGAGGGTCATGTCTTCAAAACGTGGTCACTGGCGGCTCCTCACCTTTGCGATGTCAAATGTGGACAAGAGATCACGTGCCAAAGCTATAACTACAATCGAAAATATCACATATGTGAACTAAATAACCGCACCAAGGAGGCGAGACCAGAGAATTTCCTTTCAGCACTCGCTTGGTTTTACATCCGGCGATTGAACGGCAGAGGTAAAAAATCAAATGTCTCTCTATCTATGTGATTTCTATTTCTTTAAATCATCTCCATCCTCATCCTGGTTCCTTCTCACCTGGAAGAGCTAAGAATAGGAAGTGAATGTAAAACATATCTTTACTGCAGCTCCCTTAGGTTCTATCCCTGAATTACCGGCGCTGTCTTGTCACGAAATAAAGGCGAGTGAAGGTAAACACACCATAAGCGGCAAGTACTGGTTAGATCCAACAAGGAAAGGAAAGGCGAAACTGATTTACTGTGATATGGTCAACGAAGGTAGGTCCTATAACTTTGCTTGAGTTATTTTATCTTGTGGCGAGTTATCAGTATCATGAAATTATTATAAATTATACTATTATTGATATCATTATCGTAATATTTGGTTTGGATCAGTTCTAGCGTGGATGCCTCTCTCAAGTTGCTCTAACTTAGTCACCGCCTCTCTTTCTACATTCTAGATATGGATGAATGTAAATTTAACATCAGTGACTGCGACGTGAATGCAAACTGTACTAACACGTTTGGTTCTTACAAATGCACATGTAAAGTGGGATACATCGGCGATGGACGCTCGTGTTCAGGTAGTTTTAATATTTCCATATATAACTAGTTTTTGTTAATCGTCTCATAATTTTATGCAGCGTTATCCATGCATGTTTATGCAAAGAGTTACCACGATCTACATATTTTGTTACACATTTTGTAATGATAAGAGTAATTACATGACTATGGGTCATAAAAATGATAAAGTGCAAAATTTATCGATAGTTTCTCAGATATTTACGAGTGTTAAGGAAATCACTCTTGTCACGTGAATATTACATGCACGAACACCAAAGGATCGCATGTTTGTACTTGTCACCACGGATATACTGAAAATGGAAGCGACTGCACAGGTACATAATGCTTTTCCTTTGGAATCATTCCCATTAGAAAGAAAAGCACTATCATCTTTGCAAGAGTTGTTTTACCAGCATACCTTGTATAAGAAGAGATGAGTGTAGGCCTGAAGACAATGGCGATAATGACACCATTGTATTCAATAAACATTCAATGGTAAAACAATCTCAACTGGCAAAGGAGACTTGATGGATAGGCTTACAGGACAGAACAACGGATTTGAACTTGGGGAAACCAAGAAGAAATCTGGTAAGTGGTAACGTGAAGTGCTCACGTCTAGAACCACAGGACAAAGACTTCTCAGCTTATGCCCCGCAACTTTTCTCCAATTGCATTTTTTTTTATGTTTATGATTTTTCAGATATTGACGAGTGTAAAGGAAATCACTCTTGTCACGTGAACGCTGCATGCATGAACACCCTTGGATCACATGTATGTCAATGTCATGCTGGATATACTGGAAATGGAGAAAACTGCACAGGTAAATTTAATCTCTTCTCTACAATATGTAGAATAGTCCTGCATCACACGTTCGACTACAGTGCTGCACCATCCAGTTGCGTTGCAAGACAATTAGACAATTTATCACTAAGAAACTCGGTCATTTTGTCCTCACGTGTTCACCTCCTCGAGTGTTCAAGTCGCTATCTTATGAGAATATAAACAGTTGTAATCTCTTGGTATCGAGTTGAACAAGAAAAGAAAAGTTACATGACCGCAAGCAACCATGTACTATTTTGATTATCATATAAACACAATAGGCCTTTACTGAGAATGAAAGGTGACTTTTTTAAAGAATGATATGATTGGTTTCACAATCCGCGAAAAAAAATCGTAAAGCGCGTCGGCGATAAGGGTCAAGATGAAAAAATGCGTTGAACCATTACAGAAACAGACAAAGGGCGTAACCTTCTTTTCATAAAATTCTTAGTTGATTTTTTCCTTACCGAAAGAAAAATATTTTCATGTAAAAGGCAAAAATAGGCCTTTAGTAAGAAAAAAATAGAATTTTTTATAGAATGAAATTAGAAGTTTCACATTCCGCGAAAAAAAAGTCTACCAAGGAAGGCTTGCAAGGCTAATCTTTGACGATTGATATCCGACTACAGTTTGGAACGGTGTCTAGAGAGAGATTCCACTGCAGTGGAAGTTTTTGTTTAGTCTAAATTTATAATTAATTTGTTACAATGATAAATAACTTAATGCTCTTTCACCTCATAAAAGTTTAAAAAACGAATGCATATCTCACTCGTGCAACCACTAACGTTGAATAATTTTTCTTTTCTTTCCCATTTTTTTAGATATTGATGAATGCCAAAAAAATACTCACAATTGTCACCTGAACGCTACTTGTCAAAACACAAATGGATCCTTTGTGTGCACCTGTTTATTTGGATTTAACGGAGATGGACGGAACTGCACAGGTAAAGGCCTTTAGATTGTAATTGCCTCGTTATAACTTTATTTGTTTGCTTGTGTTTTTATTTTTAACTGTTTGTTTATTTTGTACGTACCTTCTCTGTTTGTTTGTTTTGATAAAGTTGTTACCCTTGCCTTAATATTTTTGACCAAAAAAAGAAAATGATCCCAATTTAAAGCAAGAGGACGAAATGCACTCAATGCTCAAAATAAGGAGGTTTATACATGTATCATACTCCAAGAATCGTGATTGAAAGCCTGTCATTTCTCAGATGTTGACGAATGTGCAAGAAATCTTTCTTGTCATGTGAATGCTAACTGTACCAACACAATTGGATCACATGTATGTACATGCCACACTGGATACACCGCAGACGGACAGACTTGCTCAGGTGATTTTGATAACTTTCCTTCAATGTCAAGAAAAGTCCTTTATGGCCGAAGAGAGGCAACCTCCATTGCTGCTCTTTCTATACATACAATCCCAGCTACTCAAAGCGGGAGGTAATCTGAAACGTCTTTTTAGCTTAAATTATAAGGCCGGAAACATTTATCCTAAAATTCATCCCTCATTAAAAATTGTGGATTGTTTTGTTTTGTCCCACATCCTTTGAGATTAGATTTGCAGTATTTTGGATAGGCATTCATTATATCTTTATTCACCAAAACATTTTTCATCATAACATCCAACTCTGGGTTGTGACGTGGTGCACTTGATCCCCATCAGACATTGACGAGTGTTCACAGATGAACATCTGCGGTAAGAACGCCTCTTGCAGTAATACCCAGGGCTCCTACAGTTGCGCCTGTAATCCTAAATACATTGGGGATGGTCTGACTTGTAAAGATTAGTCTCTTTTAATCCATGCCTTATATATTTTTTAAAGAGATGGTACAGGCTGAACCCCCTGTAAATAATGTTGAGTGAATGGCTATTCTTGTTCGGCCATGTAACAAGTCACGTTAGTTTTTAGTACCTTTAGTTTGCTAGGAAACGTCCTTCGACAAAACATTGGGGATAAAGAAAGATAGATTTGATTTTTTAAATCATATTTGTGGACTTGATGTACATTGTTTTTGTCCACCAGGAGAGAAAATAATTTTTTCTTGATGATGCATAACTGTTCTGCAAATGTAATTATATTGATGATGTCTCAATTAAACAGAATAGTCTGATTGGCTAAAATCGATGTTGACCGCAGTTACGATTTTCTCACTCTGACCTAATAAGGTAATTTCTCAGAAAAAAAGAAAGTCACCTATCAATTTTTTTAGTCTGCCTTTAAGGGGGGAATCTGGTTGAAATTTTGAGTTAGAAGGAGTCTGGTTACATTTTGGACCCAAATTTGTAATAAATTGTAGAGATTATAAAACTCCAGCTATTTAATGTATCACCATAAAATTTTGCATGCAAATAGACTAACCCACAGCCTAAAGTGGCATATTGTTCGCAGACCATAATAAGCAAATTTATGGTTAAATATTAACCAAATTCATCATGGAGGCTAATTTTCACTAATTTCATGCCCACCTACTTTTTTTTCTGTTCTATTAATACAGTAAGCATCATTTTTCACAATAACACTACACAAACTCTCCTACAAACCTATTGAGCGATTTTGGTTTTCACCAAATTGTGTTGCCATGGCAAAAGCAAACTTTTGTAAAGAGTTTAACCTGAAATAACTTCAACCGAATTCATCAAAAAGAAAAAAGGTTCGAAAGGTTTGTAGAACAGCCTTTCATATGTAACTGAGCCAAATTTGGCAGAAAATGGATAAAAGCAAGTGAAAAAGTCTAGGTGGGCATCTAAAAACTCCGTAAAAATGCCTTTTTGAGAAAAATGATGCTTAAAATTTCGAAAGCAAAATAAGTGGTGAAACATCCATTAAACAAAACAATCATTAAAGAACAGCCTTATTAAAGTATCCTGAGATCATTTCCTAGTTATAAATCACAATTTCTATTATTTTTTTCTCTTTTTCGCTGGTGCTGTAGTAACAGTGAGTTCGTTGAAAGCACCAGCACTGTACGTTGTGCCCTCTTTTTGTCTCCGCTGCTCCTCATCTCTTTGTTTTGCTTGTCTTCGAGCAACTCTGTATTTCTTATGTTGATCCTGGATCCTTTTTTCAGCCTTTTTAATTCGCTCAGAGTCTCTTCTAGTGCTCTCTTTCCTGGTGTGGCCCCTAACAGCAAGCCATGCCCTTGCCATCACCTCATGCTTTGCCGTTGCTCCTGCACTAAATTGAAGGGTAGCTGATGCTGTTGCCAAAAGAATTCTTTTCCTTCCATGCCATTTATGTTTTGGGCATCTAATCCACACTAATGAATTGATAGACTCATATTTATTTTGAGTAAACCCAGGAAGACAGTGTGAAATAAGGGCAGGATCACTGAGCCTCTCATAAATTGGACACAAGTACTTTTCAAACACCGGATCTAAGTGGTGAGGCTTATCAGGGCAAGGAATTTTCTTCTTGTACCTGCACCAAGAATTGTTTGGGCAATACTTGTGTCTTTCTTTGTTTGGTAACTTCAAGCTGTGGTACAAGCCAGCCATAATTTCAGTCTGCACAACCTGAAAAGTAGCATCTCGCTCCTCTACGGAGTTAATGTCTCTGTTGACATTATTTCGAATAGCTTTCCCTTAAGAGCGTTTCATTTTCTCGATTGCTGTTTTTGTTAATCGAACCTGTCTTCCTTTCACAGGCTTACTATCCTCTAGTTTTAAAGCAGTTCTTTGAAACTCGTACAGAGCCTTTCCTAGCCTCTTCTGGACATGTCCAAAACAATCAAGTTTGATTACCCTATCGCATTCCACAGATCCATCAAGATGTTCATTTTCTCACCTGACATAATCTTCAGATGCCTTCCAAGTTTTGTATTCTTCACTTGTTGACTCTAAAGATTGATATTGATTACAAGTGTCACATGCCCCATAGTAGTTCCAAATGGCACTATAAGACTTAGAGTCTCCATTGGAAATCATAAATTTGTATCGCATGAAGTAGTCCTGACTCCTACCCCACAGACGCTTCGCAGATTCCATCTTCATGCTAGCACTTGAGCCTCCAAAACTACCCAGACAGCTATGGTTTTCAGCCCACTGTTCAAAGTCATGTTCATTTAAATAAGATTTTTTTTGTATGCAAGAGTTGCATACATTTGAAATGACTTCGTAATTTCTGACATTAGAGGCATATTTTAAAGTTGAATATTTTTCCTGTCTAATAAAGTGTATAAAAAAATTTGACCGAGTTCACAATTTAAATGTTTCCTACCAATGGCTTTTTCGAAAAATGCAATAAGAAAGGCAGGTCACCTTGCTTGTTTGAGAGAAATGACAGGCAAAACTTACCTCACTTATGCCTTTACTAGCAATTTTTCACGCGCGTCATTTCAAGGTACATTTTTTTCTGTAGCTGGAAGCAAGGGTTTTCGAAGTAAAAATTAAAAGAAAAAACTTAAAAGGTACAAAGTCTCGAGCGTGTGGAAAATTTGATATGTAATTTGTGGAAATTATTTTTATATATTAGTAATTATTATCACTCAAAACGTTCCTCACGTCGTTGTTTTCAAGGTAATAATTTTCATCATCATGTAACGGGCTTTGTGCACGCTTTTAGCTATGTCTTCCTTTTTTTTATTTTTTGCCTTCGACAATTTTCTTAGTTTCTCCAAGTTCAAGGGGAAGATTTGTACACAAAAATTATGCAATGAAAAATAGAGGTCACCGCGCTCGTTCAAGAGCTAAAGAACATTGTACCTGTTTGAATAGTCCATTTATTGAAAAGCAATACCGTGTTCTCGGAATGCGTGCGCTTACTTGCCTGATTACGTGATTTTTATGCGCAGTACAGGATGCCCAGTGCAATACTGAGGAATCACCTTTAGACTGATAGCAAGATTCAGTTTGTTTTGTTTATTTAAATAGTAATTAATGGAAGAATATTTGTCTTAATAAGGAAAACGTAGACAAATTTGAGTGTAGCCGACGAAACTACGAGCATAGCAACTTGACTTTTTACTACGCGAATTTTTGTCAGATGCACGATTTGATTGACTATAAGAAAACACTTTCGTCCAGAGCATGTGTTGAGGAAATATTAATCATTTAATATTAAAATATTAAACAAATAACATTTACCTTTGATAGAAATAGTAGAGATTATAAGTTTTGAGCTCGATGAAGAATTAAGAAAGATGTTTTTTCGCCTTGTCACAAGCGTGGGATAAAGAAAAATTTTGGGTCTCCATAAGGAATCTTCCTCATGGGGGAACCCAGAATTTTTCTTTATCCTTCGCTCGTGACAAGACGGAAAAACATCTTTCTTAACATTTACCTTCCTCTGTAACGTTATTGGAAAATTTTGCTCATAATATATAGGGAACTTTTTCCCGTGTTTGCATTTTCTCATTTAAACACTCGAGGCTAGGAAATTTCTTGAAAGTTATGCAAACCCTTGACTGCGTATCGGGTTCGCATAACTTTCTCAAATTCTCCCAACCTCCTCTCGTGTTTAGGTGAGAGTGTGTAAACATGGAAAAAAGGTTCTCTATTGCTTAAGCATTAATCGCCTCCAACAAAGTTGTCCAGGCATATCTGCTCAGATCGAAGAAAAACTATTTACTTCACTACAATTTCATTACGACACAGAAAACTTTTTCACAGTCAAATAATTCTAGCCCTAGGAAATTTTTACGGGGGCACTTATTAACAAGTTTGATGGCTTTACATTCATCAACAACCTTATTTGTGGTCAGTAGTCGATTATTGCAGGGCTGTATGAAAAGGAATCACTAAGCGATCGCGCCACAGTCACGCATTGAAATTCGTTGAATATGGTAACTTTTAAGGGATTTTGTATTGAGGCTGTATGACAAACTCGGCTATTTTGTACTCATGCAATAAATAGAGAATGATACTTGGGTGTGCTTTGATATAGGATTTGTCTTGGAATATTCAACTTGTCATCTCGTGAGCGAGAGCAGCGAACGAGTAAAGTATCGAGCAAGAGAATATAAACTGTTATAATCTCTTGATATCGAGTTGAACAAGAGAAGAGAAGTTCCATATCTGCAAGCGACCATCTATTATTTTGTTTATTATATTAACACAATAAGCTTTTACAAGGAAGAAAAGTCGACTTTTTAAAAAATGAAATTATAGGTTTCACAATCCGCAAAAAAAAAGTCGTAAAGCGCATCGGCGATAAGGCTCAAGATGAATAAATGCGTTGAACCATTACAGAAACAGACGATGGGCGTAGCTTTCTTTTCACAAAATTCTCAGTTATTGACTTTTTTCCTTACCGAAAAAAGGAATATTTTCATGTTCACGACCGAAATCGGCCTGTGGCAAATCTTCCAGTTCTCGATTTTCGTTCTCAGCCACCAGAAATACCATTACCCAAGTCAAAGACCTAACTTTCAGTATTTCTTTTCGTATTTTGTTTTACTTCCCCTTTCTAGGAAATTTTGAGTGACATCGTTCGTTAGAACTACGAATTTTTCTCTTTTTTTTAAGCAGCCATAATTCGAGAAAATATCGACATACAACCCTGGATTGAGAACGGTCATCGCTTTGCCATTCATTTATTAACCTGACACAGCTGATTGGTGATATCAAACACATGTAAAAAATTATCGTAATATTATACGCGTGTTTAACAAGGATTTCCCGGCTCTTCTCAGGGCAGGAAATCGTTTTAAACCAACGCAGTTTATATAATAGCTTTTTTCCTTAAGCTTTCTTATAAAGAAATATTTAAAACATCGCATTAACCGAAATTCAACTTTTTAGCCGATCCGTGCTATAATTACAGAAACCTGAGCGATGCTGACAGAAAGAGCACTTACAACACACCCTACGGTGGAGAAAAATGTGACGACGACTCCTCATCCTTAATATTCGAGAAATGGTATCGTTTCGTAGGAGATGCAGGAACGAAAATGCCAACCCAATGCGTACCGGATTATAGATGTGGTGCGGTCTTATCAGGCTGGCTAAAAGGTGGTCACCCCACACTGGCAGATGGTGAGGTTCTCTCCAAGGTCTGCTTTACCAGAGGTGGAGATTGTTGCAAGAAATCAAGGGAGATAAAAGTGAAAGACTGTGGATCCTACTTTATATACAGACTAAAACGGCCACCTACTTGTGATCTGCGCTACTGTGGCACAGATTAAATGCTATAAGCAAGTCATTCTGCACAGCGAAAGGATTCACAAATCGATTAATTGGCACATGTGCATCAATGATATCAGGGACTTTAAGAATTTCACATCACCCAGTTTTATGGTAAGAGTTAAACAGTGAGTAGTTTAAAACACAAAAGTACCATTGGACCGCGTAGTTTGTTCTTCCATATAATAGTGACTGACGTTTCTATAATCTAAGCGGATATATCATCATCAGAGTCGACTGAACAATTGTTTATCCGACTATTGAAACAAACTCCCCCTACCCCTCCCCTAGCTAATGTCCACAACTATGGGCATTAGTGACCTTCCAAATAATCTTAATATCATCTCTATCTATTCCAATAGAAGTGCTTCACTAAGTAAGTTTTAAGCACATTTTTTAGCATTGCATTTTTCTTATTACTAAACGTTTTGAACTCTTGATGTTTACTCAGGTCGTTAGAAACTAAAGCAGATTTTCATACCCACGCCTTCTCTAAATGTAGTTGTTATTCTGTCTAAAAGCCTTCCACTATGGATCATGGCGGTCCATGATTATAGGCAAGTTGTTTACCATGTTTAGTCATGCTTTCATTAGCATCATCATTTACAAGGATTTTTAAATCGTGCTAGGTGTGTTGTGGATAGAGACTAAACAATTTCTAGAATTTTTAGTCCTTGTGACATCGATGCTCAAACATTCAGGTGAAAAACCGTGGAAAAAATTCTATTGGGTTATGTGATTACGATCTATTTCTACCACAATAGTTGTGTTATAAGCTTCGAATTCCGGGATGTTTCAAAGTGCCCAGTGCACTGATCACTGGACTGCTGGACAAAACCGTAACGTTGGCGTGCCCGCGGTACAGTTGACCACGCATCTTAAAAGTTGCACCTTGTACGGTCGTACGGTCGTATGGTCATACATCCAAATTTTTTCGACTTGATGGGTTACTACTATTTTGTATAATTATGGGGCTACGCTTTACGAGCTCCGCTATAAGGACTCAGTCAGCTAGGAGTACTAATTTCCTTTGTCGGAAAAGACCGAATATCTAGGAAGCTCTACCAAAAGCATGTATTGAGAAAATATTTATCAGCTATGTTATAAACAATAGCTCAGTACTGTGATATACTTCAAAGATTGTGTATTTTGTGGAGATTTTGAGGCAATAGTAAGTCTTTGATGTCAGTAGAGAGCTACGTTTTAGTCTGTAGTGGACTTAAGTAAGTTTTTAGAGGACAATTATTGTATTGCCTATAGGATTGGCTCCTGAGAAAGAATTACTACACGTTGTTTAACAAAATAATTTAAATTGTAGGAGTATAGTATTCCTTATTTCGATCAAATCATACCTTAAAGGTGAATCTTGTAGGAAAGTGTGTTGGGTGAAATAGGTAAAATCTCAATAATGTCTACGCTAGTAGCTCTTTCAAAGGCATTTCAACAAAGAACAAAACAAGAGC